TAGCTTTCCTTATTCTCTTTTTCTTCCATTAGTATGGCAGTTGGCCTTTGGGCTGCATATGAATGTTATTATCTTTAAAATACTAACTATAAAAATGATTTACGAGGATTTAAAATACAAGCGTAAGAATTATTTACATTATTGTTTTATTTTTACATCTCAGCTGCATTTACTGAATGGAAAAGATGCCTCTGAGAATGAAGGAGGAGTACTACCAACAGGTCAAAGGGCTGTGTGCACATAATTTAGTAAGTTAAAATGGATTTCATAGGTGGGAAATCACCCCCTATGTCCAGGGTGACACACTATTTCTGTGACGTGAATTTCTTACTCTCTCTTTCTGTTCTTTCATTGGCTAGTGTAAGTTAACTCATTTCCCTCATTATTTCCCCCACTTACTCTTCATTTGAGGAAGGCTATTATGAGAACAATTGCTGCTGTATTAAATAAGAGTGGTTTGCTCATCATTATGAAGGAAAATATTGATACTGATGTTTAATAATGAATAGAGAAAAGGAAGGAGGGAGACAGGGAAGGACAGGAAAGAGGAGCAAATCAAAAAGGAGGAAAAAAGAAGATAGGAAGATTGGAAAGAAGAAAGTGGAGGCAAACACTGATAAGGAATGAGAAGAGAGAGACAGAGAGAGACAGACAGAGAGAGAGAGAGAGAGAGAGAGAGAGAGAGAGAGAGAGAGAGAAACAGAAACTGAAACAGAGACAGAGACAGAGACAGAGACAGAGACAGAGAGAAAAGTAAGGGAAGAGAGAGAAAAAATATAAACCAAAGGCATGAGTGAAAAAAGACTTAGGGAGCATTTGCACATTTCGTTTTTGCTTAAACTTATTAAACCTGGGCAACTGACTTTGAAGTTGTACATAGTCATAGTTGAAGAGAAAGAAAATGTATATGCTACAAGTTGCTCTCTATATTGAATTCTCTAATTAAATTAGTAATTTTCAAGAAGAATAACAATAGGGCTTGGTTTCCTTATCTTAATTCTACTACTTAATAGTTTTATCATTTGGTTTCACAAATAACTTAAGCATGACAAGTTATGCTTTTCAGCATTCGACCGTTGTCACTTTTAACCCTTTATATTTTTCAGATACTTCTTTAATTTCAGTTGATCATAATTTGAATTTATTGTTCATAAATATATAAATACATTATCCATAAATAAAGTTGTCCTGAAAAATATTTCTAATATATACATATGGAGTGGCTGAGCTGGAGACCAACCACACACTGTACACTGGGGCTGGTGCAAGGCTACCTGAGAACACGGAGCACCAGAGGCGAGCCATGTAAACAAGTTGCTGGGACTGGAGCAAGGCCAGTCCAGCAGGTGTCCGGCCTTGGTGCTCCTCCCTGTGAACTACAGCACAGACAGCTCTGAGAATGTTTTGCTTTCAGAGTTCTCAGCAAAACACTGAGACCTTGCACTTTCAGCCCCATCACAGATTTCCCCCATTTGACCATGTGTAATAAAGACACAAACTCTGCTGAGTTGTTGCTCCCTCTCCGTTAGAAAGGTCAGGACCCATTTAGTCCCAGCTTTTCTTTTAGTATGTGTCTAGTTTTACTTAATCTTCCCTTGTCTCCTCTCAGAACCCCACTGGCTGCATCGGTGGTGAGATATATATATGCTAATTTGCTATAATTTATTTCATGTTTTGAATGAGATGGATCCTCATGTATATAGTTATATCTGCAAACACTTTGCCCTGTAAAAAAGGAGAATACATTATTATTTGCATTATTGCATATCTCAAAAAAATTTTTTTTTTTTGTCTCACAATGCCCAATGCCATTTTTGAGCAAATCAGACTGTTTTGGGTTTTGGAGAAATTTGTTATCAATTCTATGTTGCTTTTTTTAAAAAAATGAATTTATCTGCTCTAGAACGTGATAGCATTCCTTAGAAAACTGAGATAAAGAAAGCTTGGAAGTAGGAATGTGTGTTTATGAGTGCTGTATTACCAGTGACACCTCCAACTGCTAAAGCTAGCTGAAAATAACTGAAAGGAAGAGTGTGTTTAACACTCTGTGTACAGAGGAGCTGAAGTTTCCTGAAGTGTTAGAGAAAAGGCTGGCTGATTGTTGCATCATGATGGCTTAGGGACAGGAAAATTGTCTGACACCTGACCCATTTCTCTCACTTTCTGAACTTAAAATAAATCAACAGACATCATGGCTTATTTTTCCCAGTCATTTGGAATGTGCGATGAGTTTGAGTTTACCTTCCCTTTGTTGCCTAGCTTCACAAGCTATATAACGCTACGACAGTGTTTATTGTGTCTTCTCCTACTGCATATTTTACAGGGCAGTTGCTTCAGGAAAAGGTGCACATTTCTCAGCTTTGGCATGAACCCACGTGTGGCACTTGAGTCTCTGTCCTTTCCAAGATGATGGTTAGATGATGCATCTTATCATTCTCTTCTCCTGAGTATATACTGATTTGATAGGCATTTCTTGTACTTTATTTATATATTTTCATTAGAAAGGCATTTAATAAAGATAAAAACTCTAAAAATTTTGCTCTAGTCAGAAAATGTATCTGTTAAGCATTCTACGGTTTGTCTTGAGAGAAAATGTAAGACTTCAGGTTTCAATTTAAAATATAAAGCACTATCAGGGACTTTCACCCCAGAAAGCATTAGCCTTCTGAGAGCACTACTTCTTGGGCTCAGCTTCTAGCCAGGGTTGATACTCCAGCTTTATTTTATAAGTTTCCCAAGCTGCTTTCCAAATCTTGGGAGGCAGAACCAGCCAGAATCTTCTGAGTTTGAACACAGCATGCTAAATGCTTCTCTGTTCTCCCTGAGTGATTGCTACCAAATGAAACATAAAAAAGTTTGATCTTTGCACTTTCCTATCAATGGCTCCTTTTCTACTAAAACAGAAATTACAAGGGGATTAGAGATATATTAGACTTCTTAGCGATAGCTACTGCATGGATTTGAAACATTTACTAAGTATCTTTAAGGACTAGTTTTGGTTTGGTATTGAGATAAGAAACAATTGTTTTAAAAATATAATTAATGTGCACTTCTTTGAAAGAAAAATTAATATACTACAGATGTAATAGTTTTGATAAGCAGATAAAACATGAAATATTGTTCTTTCCTACATATATATGAATGTATTTTTCTATTTTATCAAAGATAAAATCTCAAAATATAATAATATGATTCTTATTTCTGTATTCTGATATATTCCACATTAATTTAATGAAGAAAAAGAATAATCAAATTACTATGCAGTTTTACTTTACATCAAGGGTGATGCCTGACTTTCTAAATTATGATTACATTTTCCCTTTAAGGTTGATTTTCACACTATATAATTAATAAGTACTACACATTGCAATTTTCTCAAAGAGGTTTCTATGTATCAATCGTAGTGGTGACCAGTTGCCATTCACACAGTTAAAAAGGATTATTGGTCTAGGTGTTCAGTTTCCAAAAACCTTATCCACTAGTTTGTGACTTCTATCAATGTAAATGCTATGTAATATTGATCGTTAGGTATTCAGAGGATTCTTTCTTTAAAATATTACAACACTCATGTACTTTAAAAATCTCACTTATATATTGAGACAAATGTAAATGTCAAGCATATTGTACTTATTAATCATTTATTCTTGCATGCATTCTTGCTGAAGACAGACTTTTCTAGTCAGTAGACTTTATAGTCTGTACATAACCTGCTTCATGAAAAAACATGACTAATGTAATACTTGCTTGGCATCTGGATGTAGTTAATTGGCATACTTTTATTAAAAGACATTAAATTATTCTTTTGATATGAGAAGAAATCTTTTAAATCTTTGCAGGGAAAACTCATTGCCTCCTAGTTTTGAAGAAATTCAACCAATTACAGTAACTTGTCTTCATCAATTTCTTCCAGTAGAAAGAAACTCATAGGACTTTAACTATGAAGTTAATAAAAATCTTTCTGAGTCATTGAAACAGACAGATATTGATGGGAAATTAACTTTAAAACATTTCTGACTTTGAGTTAATTAAAGTATTCTGATACAAAGCTTTGTGAAAGCAAGAAAAGTGAATTTGGAAGAAATACGATAACCTGTTAAAACTTTTTTCAGAGCTATATAAAAATTCACAGTATAACTAATCATAATAAAAAAACCAGATCTTCACTTCAGTATATCATTATAGTAACAGTGAGAATACTGGGTCTTATTAATGAGAACAAATTACAGGGAAAATAATATGTTTCCTTTGTGTTTAACTTTCACTGACACATTAATGAAAAGGATGATTAAAACTGTACTTAAATAATATGTATCACTTTCCATCTTATTCTTTGCCTGAGGAATTTGGAGGTATATACAGGTATGCATCCCAGTTTCTATCCTTCTGGAAATCTATGTTTATGGCACTGCACATATATTATTCTAAGAATTTATTTTTCTTTCTTAATAGGATCTGGGTAGAAAGTATATATTTCTTCATAAGCAATTTATGACTGTATTATACTATTTCAAATGCGTGTGACAGCTGTTTCTCTAAAGCTGACCATTAGAAGACAGCATGCCTATAAATCTCAGGTCCTGAGGAGAGAGGCTCTGGTCTTGAGTATTTTGAATGCCATGTCCTCAGTAAACATTTATAACACCACAGTTAGCTTTGTATACTGAGTTTGTAAAACTGGCAAAAGAAACATGAAAAACCTAAAATATTAATCAAGTGAGGTGTTTTTCTGTAAAAATATTCTGGTTTGTGCATATCTTTTCTTTTAAAGGCACGACTGTAAATTCCATTTATAGTACAAACATAACTTCTACAAAGCTTAATGACAGGTAAGTATTCACACGCCTTAAATCAAGATTGAATTTAGTTTAAAAATATTATCTGCTTCTACATAAATCTTTCATAAATAAAACTTTATTCTGTTCAACTTGTTTAGGTAGCTAAGCAACATACATCCACGTATTGCACAGACCTCGATTTCAGCAAATTGAGCAACAACTTACCTAGAGAAGCATGTTAATTTATTTGTTTCTTTTGCTAACTTGAATTTATCCCGAGTTAGAAAACGACATATCCAGTATTCAGGCTCACTTGGCTCCAGGTTAATTAGAAGGAGCTTTCAGTTCGTGCAATCTGCCCCAACAGGATTCCGAGAGCGCTTCTTAGCTCCAGTCCTAGTCTCTGAACTCTTGCAGCAGTCTTTATTTATACACACATTGTCCTTTTCAAAACAAGCAGCCAGCTGGAATGATTCAAACCTCTGTTCAGCACACCGTTAAAATGCAGCTTCCTTCTTGGACAGGAGAATTACACCAGGGAGCAGACCGGTACAGCAAAAAGGCTGCGAGAACTATTTAATCACCGGAATGCCAGCTGCTGCTGCTCTCCAGCTCCCGCGCCGCCGTCCTGCTGCTTAGCTGGGGTCCGGCTCTCCCTCCCTCCCTCTCTCTGCTGTCTCCAGAACTGTAAAGGCAGCTCTGCCGGATTATGATTGGCAGAAGCAGCCAATTCCTCCAGCTAATCATCCTCAAGACTTTCAAGGACCTGGCGCTGCCGTGATGTCATCCAGGCCGGGATGTTACACACGCATTCGGTCCAGCAGAAGCAGGCTCAGCCCTGGGCTGCCTTCCCCTCCTCTCCCACCAGCGTGATTGATCAGATGCTCCAGGAGGATTTGCATAGTCTGTCATTGTACAGTCGGACTACGTATTTCCTATGAAAACCGAAAATAAAATCTCACTTTGAGCTATGACACTGTGCCACAAGATCCTAGTGGGTTAAAAAAAAAAAAAAAAAAAGTTCATGAAAGGGTGCTCTGGGGTTAAATGTGTACCAAACACGTGAATAGCAAACTCAACAAAAAGCAACAAGCAGCAGGAAACTGAGAACTACAGAGCCCTGGAGTTGTTAATACTGTAAGAATAAATGTGAGAAGAAAGAAGAGCACGTGTGTGTGTGTGTGTGTGTGTGTGTGTGTGTGTGTGTGTGTGTGGTATTCATGGTCTTACAGTTATGGTAAATTCTGAATTATTATGGAAAAGTTCTGTTCTCAACTCTGATAAAATATTTTCATACAGTATAACGTGATTGCCTGCTCTTTGTCCTCCACTAACTCGGACAAACTCGTAAAGAGGTAATAAAGTACTTTTATACACTTTTGGAAAAGTTCTTTGAACTACTTCATCAGAATGGGCTTTCCAGTACATTCTTTCTGTCTAGACTGTAAGGTTCCAAGGGCTTGTCTTGTTTCAATACATTGCTCACTCCCCAGTTTTTAATTTAGTGGAACCCGAAATGCTCATGAGAATTCAATCCAAGACCACTTATTATGAGGTAGAGAACAGAAGTGCAAATTTTTCTCATCTCCAGTTACCCCGCTGGAATGTGTGCCTTTGGGTGTGCACGCTCTTACTGTAATAATGAGACAAGCTGAGGGACACTTTGCAGTTGCGGTGGAGTCCCCAGAACTCAGCATTTTTTCATGATGTGGTCTTATGGATGAATAACTTCATAGGCTCAGCATTCCTAGTATTATTACACCGTACAAGGTTTGGGGGTCAGGCAGTTGCAGATACAAGCTTTACATGGACAGAAACAGACATCTGGCAATTTAGGATATCTACCAGTTATTTTAAAAACAGAAGTACTATGTGGCACATCAATAGATCACGAATCTATTATTTTTGCAAGTGTACAGTTTAAAATATTTTAAATAAAAACTTTTACTTTAAAGATCATCAGAAAGAAGCCCCAACACTTCTTGTTGAGAACATTAGAACACAATGCCTTTGTAGATGAAGCCACAATTTTCATGATACACATGAAGAGATCCACAATGGAGAAATAAAATGCAGTTAAGCATATCAACAACTTGATAACAAGACAATTAGTAGTAGAATGGTAACACGCCGAGAAGTAACTGCTGATAAATAAAATAAATTTCAAATTCTAATTTAATTTTCCACATATGTGGTTTTTATAGCTATATAATGCTTTTTAATTCAAGTTGTTTATGATGATCTCACAAATTTCTTTAAGAGAAAGAAATATTAGAGGCTAGCTCAGATCTTTATCCTATTGTCATACTTCTACTTAACAAACCAGTCAACAATGCCACTTTATCAGAGTTTTCTGAGTTAACTGATTTAAGTAACAACACGGTGATTCTGATGGCAAAACCTTCACATGAAAACATGGAGCGGCTGTGTGTGCTCCGCACAGGTGACTGCAGTGGTGGGTGTTAGTGGATGACAAGAGAAAGTTTTTAGTCGGTTTTCTTCTCTAGTGTCTATAAGCAATGCTTTTATGTGAAGAAATGGAATGTTATTATCTGGAGCAAAATTAATACAAAAAATTATCTTGTCAAAATATAAAACATAGTACTGATGGGACATTTTAAATACAAAAACAACTGTAGCTAGAAAATTAACTTTTAGAAAAAAATCCAGATATAAGAAATAAAAAATTATTAAAAAAAACAAACAAAAAACTTTACTATTTTTTTCTCCTTGGTAAGATAGAAATAAATTAAACACTGAGGGTGGAGGGATGCCAGCAGGTACATATATATAAATGAATGGAAACCAACCAATCACTTTTCTTATTCCTAGAGATAGTTGGGAAAATTCACAGACTAAGCAATAAAACAAAACAGTTTCCAAACTGCTTGAAATATTTTTAATATAAATTTCCTTTGTATATTATATTGTCCAATGATTTAAAATGCATTTGGGAAATTATTATATGTTACCATTTTTAATCTGTCATGTTGGAGGAATGAAATATATGACTCAGCATTTTGGGAGGGGGCTCTGATTTGCAAGAGGGAAGATGGGGAAGGATTATCTGTTCAGTGTTTATGTTTCCCCTTTGGATCACTTAACCTGTGTTACACAATTTATGGGCCTCTCATGTAAGTGAGATATAGCAGCTATTCTATTAATTTGCAATAAGATACATTATGCAAAGCATTTCTCCTATTACTTATAGTTGAGTTCTACAGAAAAGAAAACCAGTACTCTATTTTCCTTTAGGTACTCCATAAAGAGTAATATTATTTTTTTCCTTTATTCATCAATACAAAAGTTCAGATTTGATCAAATGTGTCAGGGCTCTTTTTGACTTTTAACTGAACTTGTTGAACTAGTAGATATTTACAGCTTTACATGTCTGTGTATAGTTATCAACCTGCTTCAGCAGAAGTTAAAGTAGTGTCAGTCTACTATAAAAAATTATTTTTAAAATAAATTTAAGTATTATCTTTAACCATTAAATAAAGCTCTCTGAAAGTACAATAAAGCCATTTGTCAAGTGCTTTGTTTTAAAACTGAAAAATTAAAAACTTTGAAAATGTTTTGCTACATACCAATAAATGTGTATAAATTATAAAAGAATGTCATATATAAATTGTTCACAATATATACTTTACAATGTTTATACAAGAACCTATTTAATCAACAGAAAAACCCCACAAAACAGAATACATATTTATTGAAAAATGAAACTCAAATTTTGGCTTATAACACTTTTTTACCGTGAAAGTGAGGAAATGTCAGAAATATCCCCCAAAATCAACAGAATTCAATAAATGTAACAATTTCATAATTTTCTATTTATTACAATTTTTCAATTAATTCCCTTTTTACCTATTGTTACCAAAGGTAGGTTTTAAATGAATGAATCTAAATTAAATAGAAAATAACATGGAAGATGTCAAAATTATTTTAGATTACCTGATAATTTGTGTTTAAAAAAAACTCTTCACAAGCATGTACAAATTATAAATGACATCTGTATCTTTACACATACACTTTATTCTTTGCAAGTTTCATTTTTCTTAAGTCCTAATGTAAAAATAACAATTTGGATGCATAAAAGTAATTGAATTTAGAATTTTCATAATTTTGATTTATTTGTTGCAAGTTTACACTAAATTTTTTTTGCATAAGAATGACATAGCTATAATATCACTTCTGTCTCTCCCTTTTTCTTGCAATAATTTTTTAAACTGTCCTGTTGTCCCAATAACAGAAATTAGTAATTATTTTTAAACAAGTAAGTAAAGAAAACTACAAGTTAGCAACTTATGTCTCCAGGGGCATTGCCTCTAATTGGAATGTGAGCGACTAGTATAAAAATGTGTAGATAGTGCATGAAGTCCATTTTGCTTCATGGAAGTGATCATAGATGGTGAAAATATATAGCGCCAAGCAACGTGAGCCTCACAGTTAGCATCTCACTCACAGACATAAATGGTCTTGTTGGCAAGACCTCTAGCTAGCAAATTATTGAAGGGGGCAAAATGAGAACCGCAGATGAGAAGAAAAACCTTGTTCCCATATTGGTGTAGCGAACTGCTTGAGGAAGTGAGAAATAAGCATGTTAATGCTTCAGAGAAATCACTGGAAGACCTAGAGCTTGCAAGGGCAAGTGAGGAAGCAGACGGGGTGAGCCCTCCAGCTCCAGCTTGGCTGACAGTTGCCTAAAGAGACACAATTTTTAATAAATAGCAGCTGTTGGCCAAAGTATCATTGCATGGCCAGAATTTCTGCTGTGTGCTAAGAGCTGCTGGGGTCAGGTAGGGGGAGGGTGGTCAGAATAAATCCAGGAGTATTCTATGGGCTGTTCTTGCTATGTGAATTGTCAGTGAATAAAGGCAATGAAAGTTCATCAGGTTCATTCATTAGGCCAGATATCTGCTGAGAGCTTCGCCTCAGAGAAGTATCTTTAAATACTGTAATCTGCTTCACTATGTGTGGTGCAGTTACAGAAGAAAGACTCCCTTCGCTTCTTTGGTCCTTTCTCTTTCTTTTCTGTGTAAATCACATTTTCTAAAATTTTATTATGGTTTAATGGCAATTTCCTTGGGGGTAAGGCTTTACAAGTCAAGTTATTTTCTATTTTCTAATTTAAAGTTCTAAATGTTCAAGGTAAGAAAACTACTCCTAGGCCCCAAACCCAGCATCACAGTAATAAATTTGATAAAGCCCTTTCTGTCAAATAGGGTATTTTGTTTCATCTGTTAGCAAATTCTTTTTATCTTAGGTATCCCAATATCATTTGTTTTTTGTCTATTCCAGCCCTTCGGGGAAAGGTTTCTCATTTATGAGCTACTCCAGCTAATGCTCTGATCGGCTTGGGAAATCTTAATTTTTCACCAAGCCTTAGTAAATCAGTTTCTGTCCGGTTAGCTTGAACGGCTCACTCTAAATTAACATTACTCTGGAGTAGTTCACGGAATGCTCTCACTCTTCTTTCCATACGTGTGTGTGTGTGTGTGTGTGTGTGTGTGTGTGTTCTGAGCCCTTGCTGCAGGATGTGTTGACCTAGTGAGTTGTGGACAGTGGTATAAGCATATATGATTCTTTAAAGCTAGCCATTAATAACTGGTAGTTATTCTCTTGGTGTTTGAGAGACACCGCAAACAAATGTGGGTTCTAATGACAAGAATCAGGCTGTCCTCCAGGTCTGGGGTTCCATGATGCCTTCTACAATCAGCTAGCATTCAGTAAAACTCTAAATTTAACAGTTTGACTGTTTATATACACTGACATAATTCTTACTGTGAGATCCTTGTTCCTCAAAGACACAGCTGAAATATGGTTTTGCTAAGAGTTAATAACCTCAATATTTTGCATCATACTATGGCATAAAGTAACTGTTCACATTTTAAAAATCTTATGAAATAAAGAGAAAAAGAAAGAAAAAAAAACAAAAGAAAAAGAAAGCAACTGAGGTAGCAAGGAAGGAGAATGGTGAGTTAATATTTCCCACTCAATT